CACAATAATCACATACACACGCGGTAACAATAAACAAAATAATTAAGAATGCACACTTCTCAGCCAGGCCTGGTGGTGCGGGTTGAGACAAGAGAATTGCGAGTTTAAGGCTAGCCCGAATTACACAGTCATCAAGGCCAGCCTCAGCAATTTGATGAGACTGTCTCAAAAGTGCGCTCGGGGAATGGCTCCTTCAGTGAAATGTTTGCCTTACAAGCGTGAGGGCCTGAGTTCCAGTCCCAAAATCTATGTAAAAATGCCATGTAGGTGACATGTGCTGATCTCAGTGCTGGAGAGGCCGAGACAAGCGGCTCCCCGGAGCTCACCTAGCCTAGCATAACTGGTGAACTCCAGGCCAAAGAGATACCCTATCTCAAAGGAGGTGGACAATGGCCCTGAGGGTGACACCCACTGCTGTCCTCTGGCCTTCACACAGACATGCCCTACCCCATACACATGCACAATAAAATAAATAAAAAGTAAAAACAGAGCTGGGGATCCAGTCAGTGGCAGAGTGCTTACCTGGTATGCACAAAGTCTTGTAATCACCGGGGCTTGTTTTGTTTTGTTTTAATGTAAAGGGCCGGAATAATGGCTCAATGGTTAAGAGCACTCACTGCTCTTTGAAAGGACCTGAGTTCAATTCCCAGCACTCACAACAAGCAATTCACAAATGCTGGTAACTCCAGCTCCAGATCTGACATCCTCTTCTGGCTTCCATAAGCACCTGTATACATGTGGTATACACACACACACACACACACACACACACACACACACACACACACCTAAGTAAAAACAAATATTTTTAAAGTGAAAAAAGAATATACATACCTTATACATGCTGCGTGATTGCTGTTTGAAGCCACTAAAATCTGCCTTTGGTAAAATAGTTTTCATAAAAGTTAAAAGCTTAGTTTTAAGCACCGAGATCTGTGCACCCTGCACGTGAATCTACCCAACAAATCATTTCACTTCTCCTCCCCACCGTCTTCCCCAGAGTCACCCAGGAACCCTGAAAGGCAGATGGGCTACATACATAAAGATAGTGTATGCAGCAAGCGGAGCACAGACCCCCAGCATGCAGTAGGTGCTTGATAAATGACAGTTATTATCACTGTGTAAGCAGTGGCCTAGAAGACTTCTCAAGCTATCCCCACTTTTCAACACACTATATATGAACAACTCCCTTTGTAAGGTACTTGGAAATGGGGGGGGGGGAGCAATGAATTAAAAACCCTCTCACTCCTGCAAACAAAAGAGGCATGTGGAGTATGGAAAATTCCCCCTCTAACCACTCTGAAACAGTGACCTCTGCTGGCCAGAGGAAACATGAGCCTTCCAGTCACCTCTTCCATGACTGAGCAAGGGCTGAGTCGACCACGCTCTAGTCCCTGTCACTGGAACAGACACCAGGTGTTGCCTTACAAGGGACAGAAAGCTTCACAAGGGTTACCACGATGTAATTGGGATGTTAACAAAATTAAAGGCCAGCCTTTCCATTTGCTCATCCACCCAGAAGATTCTTTTTTTTTTTTTTTCAAACTCCATGGTCTCCTATTTTTAAAATAACATAATTGCATGCAAATGTTATAGCCGAAAAACAACACAAGGAGCATTAAAAATCAATCTTCCATGTAAGCCTCAGATTTTCCAGCATGAAGATCCAAACGCAGAAGTGGTGACAAATGTGTAGAGAACAGAGTGAAAAAGTCAGAATGCATCATTAGGAGCATTACAACAAAATGAAGGAAAAATCCCTGGGAGCCGCGGCTGACCCAGCTGCAGGGAAGAGCTCACTACAAAGGCGCTTTAAAAAGCCCACAGTCCCCTCCCTTCACAGAGGGCCCCGGAAACCCAGCGTGGGAGCAGTCAGGACCAGGCCCTTGGGCAGTCTGTTGGCTGAGATGTTTACACATAAAGCACACGCCCATCTCCTAAGGTGTGAGGTCAGGCAGGAGCTGTAAACTGGCATCCCAGGGCTGTGTGCTTTGGTTCGGCAGCCACTGTAGTAGTAGTATCATTATTTTAGTTAATGAGTTTCTGGCATGCTAAAAATGGAGATTTTCTATCATAATTCAACCTTCCGCCGTCTCACAAACACACCGAGTGCTCCTGGCCTCAGTCTGCTGCGTCCTCCAGCCCGTCAGCCTCACTCACACATTCTCACTGTGTGTTCAGGTTCATAAACACCGCGTCTGAGACCCTGGGTTAATAACATCCCTAACACAGTGACGAGTTTGAGTCTGAACAAAGATCAACCATGTGCAAAGTACTTTAGTGGGCACTAGGGA